GGTGCTTAGAACACTTCCAACAAAAAGCCACCGAAAAGCCGTTAATTGGATGCACTCAACCGAGACGAGCTTCAGCTATATCTCTTGCTCAACAAGTAAGCGACGAACTGGATACAGAAATCGGTGAATATATTGGGTATTCGATCCGATTTGAAGACAAAACATCAACAAAAACATGGTTGAAATATTGCACTGATGGGCTATTGTTGAGAGAAATGCTGAAATCTCCGCTCTTGGAGAGCTACAATGCAATTGTTGTTGATGAGGTACAGGAGAGGACGATTGGGACGGATATTCTGCTGTCATTGCTAAAAGGGATTATAGAGAAGCGTAAGGATTTGAAATTGGTGATCATGTCGGGAAGTGGAGAGGTGGGGAAGGTTCAAAAGTACTTTGATTGTCCATTGATTGAAGTCGGTAAAGGATTGAAATCGGAGAAAAGCCCGGAAATTTGCCGAAAACCATTGAACAGTATGGTGCTGCAGTTGAAGAAGATTGGAGTAAAAGGCTTTTCCGATTTCAACTTTTGATCAACCATCGCAAGAGTCAGTGCAAAAAGCGATTGATGAGTTGACTCTTCTGGGAGCATTTGATGAACATGGAGAGCTGACAGAGATTGGATCACAAATGATCAAATTCCCTTTAGAGCCAAGAATGTCCAAAGTTTTGGTGACAAGCTTGAATCTTGGCTGTAATGAAGAGATCTTGTCCATCATTTCGATGCTTTCCAGGCCAAATGATTTTCTGGATTCTATTAAGAGTCAATTCATTCACCCATCTGGTGATCATTTAACATTGCTGAACATCTATCAGAGCTACAAAGCTGATCCAAATTGGTGCAAGGAGAATGGAATCGATGAGAAAAACATGAAAAGAGTTGACCAAATTCGTGAACAATTGAAAAGTGTTCAAGAGCAGAAAGCTGATGGAAAAGAGTCATCCAATGTGCAGAAAGCTCTCCTTTCCGGTCATATTCTGCAATTGGCACATCTTGAAGACAATGGAAAGTACCGTACTTTGCACGATCGACAAGTTGTGAGTCTTCATTCAACAACTACACTCAGCAGACAGCCTGAATGGGTGATTTATGATGAGATGACGAATGAGAATGAGATCAGAACGATCACTGAAGTAACAAGGGAATGGATTCTCGAAATGGCTCCGATGTACAAGGGTTATCCAGCGATGAACAAAGAAAAGCAATGATTTTGAAGAATTTTGTAATTTAGAAAGATTTTCTGTGCTTGTTGTTGTGATATTTTGGGCTTGTTATCTTTTTTGTGTACTTATACTTACCGCATCTCTTTTCATCATAAAAATATGTCAATTTTAGCACAAATATGTTGACTTTATGGGCAAACTATGCTCGTTTCTAGTTTATAGATGTTTCTAGATCAATTATAATAAAAAAGGTTAAACTAAACTAAGACAGGCATAGTGATAGCCCTTTTTTAGGCAAGTGCTTAAGTATGAGGTGTACCCATAAGTATCGTTTTTTGTTATTTGTCTAATGAACTTGTTACTTATTCAATTTCAATGACATTTCAAAGAAAAAATGCAAAAAGCATCTAAAAGCTTTTGAAAAATACCAGAAGACTGACAAAAACTCCAAGTTAAAAAGATTTCAAAACCCTAATGGACTTTTTCAAACATAAACTAGATTAAAACCCTTACCAAACAACGAAAACGGGGAAAAGATTGCAAAATTATTTTATTTTTAAGCTTTAGTTCAAAAATATATACATTTATTCAACTGGATGAAATATTTTATAGCAATTCTCCTTGAAAAAAACTGGGATAATTCCAGCGACAGTTCAATTCCAGGATAATTCCAGCGACATGAGCAATCACGGCAACGCTACTCCTAAGAATTTTAAAGGGCAGCTGGTCAAAACAGACGGCAAAAACGGCAAAAATAGTCCCTCCACATTTATGTTTCTATGTGTTTCTCATTCTTATTGGATGCAGAATACAATTAACTACATTTTGCATACTTTGAGATCACTTAAAACAGAATTCGTGTCGAGAAAAGCTCAGTTAACCTCTTTTTGAGCCCTTTTTCGCTTTTTGACATTTTCTCATCCCAGATTTGTTCTAAAAGACTCCAAAAAATTCAGCAGATAGCTAATTTTTTTTACTACATCCAATGAAAATAAGAAACACAAATAAACTTAACCGCAGAGGCATTATTTTGGTCGGCGTTGTTTTGGCCAGCCCCCTTTTAGAGCTCTTTTTCAACACATTTGCTATTAAGATCTTCACATTTCAATTCCAATCGGAATAACTTTAACAAATAATCACAAACCTGTCGCTCAAATTGGTTATCGGACATTTCATACGCCCCTCGCCCCTTTTCTCATTGAAAACTAACTTTAAGCTCAAGTATCATGGTGTTGGGCTCTCCAATTTAAATATTCTTAGCATCATTGGATGCGCCAAGTCTTTCTCTGTTGATTGGTAGAAAAAGTATTTAAATTGGACAGCTCAACACCAAGATATTTGAACCCAAAGTTGGATTGTCAATGGCAAAGAGGGCGGGGCGAATGGCCCACAATCCTCAAATTGGGAAATCACCATTCCCAACAAAGCAGCAAATAAGACAAAAGTTGTGAGGAGACGCATTTTTGCTATTCAACATGAAATGACGAGATTTCTTTTAAAGATACTATTTCCCCCGTTTTACATTCAGCCAAGCGCTTTTATTTTAGATTGATCAGAGTAAAAATTAAAGCTTTAAATTGAACGCCTTTTCACTTAGGAAAAGGTTTGTTTGAATTTACTTTAAGATTGACAACTTTTGAAAGAGTTTTGGATAGAACTCAATTTGTAGAAGTTGATTAATTCATGAAGTTACGGACTTTGCTGCAGAAAATTTATTGATTTTTTTTTCGGATCACCGGCACTGTCCGTTCACACAACGATATTTGTGCGTTCCATCGGTGCCCGTCGCACATTCCCAATCGCCTGCGCATCCCTAAATGAAAAGTTTATCCATTATCAGTGTTCCTTGACTCGTTTGCTCAAATTTACTAGCTTGGTTAGGTAATTTTTTACCAGGACTTATTTCTATCGATCTAGATTAGTTTAGAAAGTCCATATACCTAAGCCGAGTAGATTCCCACCCGGTACAACTTTTCTAGTAAGAAATTTCTCAGCTTTTGTTGACCTAGCAGACAATATCAATTCAACCTGGGTAAAAGAAAGGCTTACAGATAAAATGAATGTTTTATGGTACTCTATGTACAAATCTCAGCTAATCTTACCGGAATAAAATGATACACAGTAGCCGTTGTGACGACCAAAATCGCCACAATCATCAAAAGAAAAGTCAAGAAGTTCATGTCGCTTTGAATCAAAATGAAAGGGAGCTACAATTGTTTTGGATCTGGTGAAGAAATTAATTCCATGTCTGGTAACTGACGCGCCTTTTCTGGTTAAAAATAGACTCCTATGTGTGATTTGAGATTTGTATTTGTTGAATGTTGAATGTGTTTTGGTTCCAATACATGAATTCACCTAACAAGGATAGTTTTTGAGAAGAATTCAAGTACTGAATTATATCTTTTCTCCACAAAATTCCTTTGAAGGGATTTTGAAAAGCGAAAAGTTTTTAAACATTTTCGGAGGTGCAAAGAAAAGTTGTCAAAATTGACAAAAACAGAAAAGCGCTGACTTTACAGCATTTTTTGACAAGTACTAATTGAAATTTTTTGCGCGAAATAAAGCGAAGCTCTGAGTTTTTCACATTTTCATTAAAATTATCAGCCAAATCCGTCTAGCCGCTTTTCTAAATTTTGGTTTAAATAAAAGTCCTCAAATAAAGGTTTTTGATCATATGAGGCGCTCTGAATAGTTTGAAATTTTTAAAACAACGGCTGGATGGATCATACTGGAAACTTTTACTATTTTATTACTACTACTATATTTTTATTTTAATGTAACAGATTAATCTTTTTTTAGCATAGAAAGTTAATGTCAGTTTCCATCAAGAAAGTTGCCAACCATCGATTCTGGCCAATTTGGCCTACTTGCCTTTGCGCTCCCGAAAAAACCCTGAAAACGAAAGCTTTTCTAAATTGCAAACAACGATTTTGTAGCGGAAATATAAATCTTTCCATTGGTGCAAATCATGCTTCATTTGGTGCATTCAACATTTGTAAAATGAATTTTTAGTCAAGACGTCCGGTTATTTGAGTGACAACTTAATAGGAATCATTTTCGTTTAGTCGTGTTCCTTATGTGCGATGAAAAAACCCCGCTCTCATCAAGTAATCGATTTGGAATCACCGTCGAGGTGAATTTACTATTCGTTTTGAATATGATCTGTGTATAATCCGATTATTTTTCATAGATTCTTTTTGAATTGTTTTGCTTAACTGGTTGAATGATAAGAGCTTTTGAAGTGGCAAGACCGTAATTTCTTGGGCAAGGCTAGAGTTGAACTGGCCTCGTTTATTGCCCAAGGAGGCAGCCATGTCAAAAAGGGAATATCGTTTTTGTGATTTTTGCCAAAATTCTGACTAAAAATAGACCTATAAATATTTTTTAGATAAAGAAAATGTCCGAAGAGGTCTGACAAATGATTACCCAGCAAATCAAAGCTTATGATGTGTATTTTGTTTAACTCCAATCGGATTTGGTCCAAAACATCAAGGAATTTCAAAAAGTAAATACTTTATAGCTAGATTATTTGGAAATGAAAAGTTATTCATTTTCCGAAATTCTCAATAAAATCAATAAACTCGATTAAATTGAGAACTACTAGAAAGCCAAGAAACAACAGGAAAACTTTAGGGCACAAATACAACTTGTGTCAAATCTGTTCGAGCTGTCTGTTACATACTTTTGAGCTCATTTTTTCGAATTTTTATTTTAAATGGAGGGCTCACGATGGAAATAGCTGTCCAGAAAAGAAAGCTAAATGAATGATTTAAAGCCATTTCATGAATTTAGCTTTAGAATCGATTGTCTAATTTGATCTCTTTTTATTAAATCGATCATGCTTTAGGCATTCCATTTAAACACATATAATCGATGGCATCGTTAATCGAATCATAGTCGTGGAAATCAGCTGTTTGGGTGGCGATTTCAGAAAGGTCGACACCGTCTGGAAATTTGTACAATAGTAGACTGTTTTATTTATATGTCGTAGCCGATTATGAATGAAATTTTTTGGCAAATCTTTCTAGTAGAGCAACCCTTTAATGTATGAGGACAATATTATATCATCTTGTAGCTAATCAAATTCTGCGTCGATTGGTACCAAAATTGTGAGTTTAGGTTAAAAATTGCCGGCGCTACAACGTTTCATTCAAAATCGGCTGAATCCCCGTAGCCGATTATGAATTTCAGCCGATTATGAATGAGTCGGTCGGGACGCGTTCAACCATCAAGTATTTAGTATCATTCAACGCAGAATCATTGATAATTATGTTAAATTTTTAAAATTAGCAAGATTTGATAAAAAGAAAAAAATTAGAGCAAAAAAACTGTTTGTTCAAGAGAAAACTTTGAAGGCCCATAATTTTTTTTCTTTTTATCCAATCTTTCTAATTTAAAAAATTTAACATAGCTATTGATGATTCTGCGTTGAATGATACTAAATACTTGATGGTTGGACGATCCCGACCCACTCATTCATAATCGGCTGAAATTCATAATCGGCTACGACATATATTTTCTAGATTTAATCTATTTTTACATTCAGATGATTAAAAAAGAGAATCAACTGTTTTCAAAGTTGAGAATAATTTGAAAGTTGATTCTAGCGCTCAATGTTTAACCGTTGTTTGCTCTTCAGAGCTGCTTTGAAACAGGAAACATGCAATGGAGTTCTATTTTTAACTCTCTAAAAAAGTCTTTTGACTCTAAAATCATCTTTGAAATATAGAATGAAAGATAAAGAGATAAAATTTTAGCCAAAAACCTTTTATAACTTAAACTATGATGTATGTATAAAAAAAAAAGCTACCAATAAGTGGAATTCCAATGGTCGAAGCTCTCAGCAAGAACACTGCTTTCGCAGAATCGACATCGGCTTGGCTACTGTACAATAAGGGAAAACTGTGAAATAAGCATTTTATAAGCACAAACCCGGCAGTGAATAGCACAACGAACGTCACATTGTCCGGCAAAGGCCAATCGTTCAGTCGGGAACACGCCCTATAGTAGAGTGTGTTCATCTCGAGTAATGCGTTTTCGTAAATGCGCCTATTTGAGAAAACTATTGTAGTCAAACCGTTAGTTTGCATCCGTTCAGTCCACTTTTATTTTGGTAGCATTGACTGAGCCTTGTAATTCCCCATCAAATGATACGAAAATCGGACTCATCGGATTTAAACTAACGGTTTGATTACGGTAGTTTCCTCAAATAGGTGCATTTTCGAAAACGCATTACTCGAGAGGAACACACTTTACTTTATAGATAATGAAGATAGACGGGAAACAACAAAAATGGTTATCCTGTATACGTTGAGTGGATTCAGTTAAAAACACTTTACCTTATTTTTCACTGGGGAAATTTTTCCCCCCCATTCTTTTTTAAAAAACCCCCCTTCCCCGGAAAAAAGCGAGTCACAGCCTTGTATACAATTATCTAGCACTGCTCTCCACTACTGTCTGCTTCAATGCTTTGACTCGCGCGCTGAATAATAAACAAGACGCTGTGAACTCGAGAAATGGGGAATCTTTTCACTCATTGAAGCAGTTATGGATCTTTCCCTTATTCTACTTACCCCCTCAAAGTCTCATTCCCATCATAGCTGGCCAACGGGTCGACGACATTGTAAACGTCTTGAGCTCCCGGGAGAAAGGTTGATGGAATGGCCTCGTCCCTTTTCCCCGCACCGTACATCCAAATGTTGGCTGTGAAGCGAATCTCCGGGTTGTTGTACGCGAACCAAGCAGACACTTTAACCGTGTTCTTTTCTGCACCGAAATTTGGCTATTTTTCACTGCGGACTCGAATGTAACCGACCACAAGCGAGGAACCGTCGATCACAAAGATGGCATGGCATTCGGGAGGAGTGGGGGATGGAGTAGTCGAAAAGAAAGCTTCTGTTGTTGATTGTGAAGAAGTCGTCGACTAAATACCCGAAATTTTGAGCACAAAGTGAAATAGTATGAACTTCGATAGTAGTTTCATCTATCAAATTTTTCAGAGCTCCATTTTAAGTTTGTAGCTATTGTTTTTATTGTTTGTTAAAGATCAGACAGCTGCAAAGTTAGGACAAGAAAGAAGAAGAAAAGGAGAAAGGTACGTTGTCGAACTCACCGAAGAACCCTCCAACAGTAGGCACGTGCTTTGAATCAATCCGGTCAGCATCCCATAGTCGAATATTGAAGGACTTGGGTAGTTGGAGAGGGAACTCACGTCGATCCCATCTAAAGACGTCAAAACATGTGCTGAAAAAACCAAAAGCAAAACCATTTATATGCAAAACAATCGTTTTTCCCTGAAAAGTGTAGTTCTTCCCGGCCGCCGTGACGAGGGCTTGGGGACTAAAGTTGAGAGTGAATTTCCTCGATCCTATGTCCTTCAACCTGGCCGTGTACAGCACAATGAGAGCATCCGATGTTGTCCACTCCATGAGTTTATTTGTGGCTCTTAAAAGGATTCTTGGGTTTCAAAGACTTATTGAGTTCTCTAGTCGTCATGTATTGGATTGGTGAATTGAAAACTGCGGGCTATTGTCATATGTCACAGTTTGAGCACTTTCTTCAAATGAAACCCAAGTGTAATGAAAAAGGTAGAGAACAAAAAGCATATCCAAATTTCAGAACGATTCAAAAACTGTTTTTCAGGAAATGCCAAATTTACGAATTTTCACAAAACTTGCATTTTGCGAAACTACTAAGTGTTCTTTTGGTTTGGTTAGCTTTTTTGTTCCTCCTTCCATTACCTAAATGGGTTCTTTGAAGAAAGTGCCAAACTGGGACTCCCGTCCTCCTTTTTGGTCGCCACTTGTCCACACACAACCAAATCCTACTACGAAGGGGTCCGCAAATTGACTTTAAATGGGCGATCGTCAATATATGATTATTTGGAGGTTGTGGTTTTTGTTGAATAAATTTTGTTCAAAGTCCGCAGTTTTCAATTCACCAACCCAATATATGTTGCGTCGGTTTCGAAGCATTTAAATTGCTGACTAAAGTATTTTGCGTATTTTGAGCTCTTTTTTTTTTCTCTGTGCATTGTTTTTATGCAACCTGAAAAGTTTAGGGGGCCACTCCTTCGGCGTCCTGTACATTTTTCCCGTCTATCCGTGTTTTTGTCTTGTTAAGAGGTTTTTGCCTGTCCTCCCTTTTGCGCTCTCTTCGTTTCGACTTAGGAACTCTACCCTACTCTACCCGACAATCGTCTCGTTTCCCCTACTCGCTCTCAAATCGCGCACACCATCAACGAAATCGTCTTTTGATCGGAGAAAATTGTTGGGAATCGGCTGATCCGTATCCCCGGCTCCGTAAAGCCAATAATTCGCACTGAACCCGATGCCATTTGTCGAATAGAGAATGGTGGCCGTCGTGGTGACTGCTGTGAGCTCGGCTTGAAAAGAGCTCTAAATACGTATGTTTCCTGAACTTGACTCTCTGTTTTTACAGAATTGAGTATGATTTTTTATGAGTACAATGGTACGCTCAAAAACTCTTTCTAACCGATTATCTTTGATTAAAGTGTGTCAATTTAGAGCCTAAAATCCTAAAATCAATCCATTTCACCATAATAGCAAGACAAGAAATTTAGTTCAAGCTTTTAAAAAAAAACATTAACCCACGTAGTAGCTCGAGCCATCGATCACGAAAAGCACTTGACAACTCTCAACTAAAAAATGATGCCGAGTTTTTAGTCAAGCTTACTAGACAGGGTTTTTGGATAACGGTTTAGATCCTCCGAAAGGCCATCCAATCCAAAAACCATGTATATAGCTCACCCAGTGTTCGCCGGTGCGTAATAAACAAAAGAAACAAAATGACCTTTTGAAACATTTCCAGAAAATAAGTAAGAAATTTTTCCTTTCCCTTTCCCCCTTTATCAAAGAAGAGCTAACGATAAGCTCATTTAAGAGAAATAATCAGAGGCCTCTGAAGAGAGCGCAGAGAAAAGAGAGGCTCTGTGAATCGCCGGCCTGGAAGAAAAAGCAAATTTCCATCAAGAAACATTGGCATAGCCAAAAATCACGCCAAAAGCTATTTACATGCCGTAAATGCTGTATTAGAGCGACCGGTCGCCCTATTTTTAAATACCCCCTTGGAGGGTCGCTCTACACTGCTCCACGTCAATATCAATCGCTGAATTTTGTAGAAACACGATTTCTGAAAAGTTTTGACAAAATTTGTAAAAGAGAAAAGATGTCATTTTTGAGTACTAAAATGTGCATTAATACCAAATTTCAATAGAAATTAGCACAATTTTTTCGGTATTTTTTTTAAAAAAACTACTTTCGAAAATCTACAAAATTATAGCCGCGTTACCAAAAATGCTTTATTAACAACAACAGAAACAATAATTGAGCGACAATTTCTAATTCAATAATCAGTAACAGCCCCGTTGAATACGTTGAATTAGTTGAAAATTTCGATTATCCAAGCTGTGGTAGAGGTTATCAACCAGCTTTTGGTCAACCAGGTTGGAATATACCAGATCGATCTGTATTTTGAGATTTTTTACAAAGGTCTGAGTGTAACCTACTATTATCTTGTGTAGTTCTTCTATTTTTAATCATAAAAAGTGTCTGGGACAATAATCTATCGAGATCTCGCGCCAGAGACGTTGCCGAAGTCTCACTTTTGAGATGGGAAACCTATTTGGACGCCTTCGGGCCGAAGTTTAACCCAATCAAACAGATTTTCGGCAAGGATTTCTGATTGAAAGTTGTAGAAAAGAGTTCAAGGATCATTTTGGTACCTTATGTGGGCTTGTAGCTTGTAGCTCGGTCTTGATCCAGACTTTCTAGCCATCCGTTTTCTTGAAATTAACGCCATTTAAAAACTCTATCTTCGCTTTATCCAAAAGAATTCCGGAGGTCACCGGATTGTTGAGATCAAACCCATTGGGCAATTGATTGGTCAACTTCTGCCCCCAGCAAGTACCTTCTGCAGCCATCGAATCGTTTTCTCTTGCCGTTGAGGTCGCTGAGTTGATTCGTTTTTTCTTCCAGTCGTAAATTGATGATCGTGCCACTCGGAACTTCGGAGCAGTCGAGTTCGATTTGGCCTATTCAAGGATCTCCAGTTGCGTTTTTGCATCGAATGCCCTTCTTTTCTTTCCTTTTCCCGTGTTATCCGTCTTGATTTCGCATTATCTTCTTTACACCCTGATAAATAACAATTATGAAAAGTAACCATTAGCCAGCAAGATCAAGAGGAACATCAAAGTCGAAAAGATTCAAATCATCGCTTGTATCGTATTTTTTCAACGTTTGTATCGACGTTTGTGTTGAATTCTCCCAAAAGGTTGGCCATTTCTTGATCCAGACGAGCATTCTTCAACTTTCGTAACCCAAAACAACAAAAAAAATTAGTAAAGTAATAACAATAAAACAAACAATAATTCGTGGCAATAAATTTTCTAAAACTAAGCATTAGGTCCGACTAGAACTTTAAAAATAATGCCTTCCAGAAAATGAGAAAAAAAAATTTGTGAAAGAAGGGGGTCGTTCTATTAGAGGGGGTCGCTCTAATACAGCATTTACGGTACATATCTTTCTAGATAGAAATTACAATAGATCTAATTTTTTACATCTTTTAAAACTCCTTTCAACATTTTCATTAAAGAAAAATTTCTGATAGTGCATATGTTGCAAAAGTGATCTTGCTTTTAGGCTCTCTTTTTCGGCTATATGTCACCGATATCTATATCTTTCCTTTCTCCTGCTTTTCCGCCATTTCCCCCACATTCTCTCCCTATCTTAGGCGAGAAAAAGGCAGGTGCCAATAAATCGCTCTAATCGCATTTGCTTTTTTGAAATTTTTGCCGAGTAGATCGATCGATTTCAATGAGCCAAACAACGCCGACGAAAAAATCGGTAACCTATTCGTTAAGATCATTTCTTATTATGGATTAAAAACTAAAAAAATGTAGAAGTGTACATGATCCATTCTTAACTTAAATTCTTAAGAAGGAAATTCCTAGGCCGATCCGGGCGGCACCCAACTCGACTCGCCATTCAAAAGAGCTCGACTCGAAGATGATGAGCCACGGGCGAGCCAATCATCAGAGTATCGGATCGATTCCGTCGGAGATGGGGTTTGTTCAATGATTGTCTTTCATTAAACTTTAGAACTGCACTATAATCTTACAATTAGCATCTTTCAAATGCCATTTCTTTTGATTGAACATCCTATGTTTTTATTCAAGATTTGCTTAACTTCGTTTACTAAAGCAATAACTTAAAAGTCTAGTGCTCTGTGTGGTTTATTTTTTCTTTTTTAAAATTCCTTTCCATCCTCCCTTTCCTTTTCTAAAGTTCTTGAAGAAACTCATCGAGTTGTTTGTTCGTTCAGCTGTCGGCGAGATTTCCGAATGATTTCCATCCATATTCAACTCAATCAACAATCATCAAGGCAATCATCGAAGCGGCTCGAAAAAGGGAAAGACTTTTGATTGAGAGTCCAACAGGATCAGGTGGGTATTGACATTCAAAGGTCATAATAGATTCTTTAGGAAAGACGATGAGTTTGATCATCGGAGCACTCGAAGCCTTGAATGGAAATGGGACAAGTGTTGAGAACAAGTGGGAGAACAATTCCTTATAACAACTTTGAGCTTCAGACCTGAGCGTTTGATTTTCTGCTCGAGAACTCATTCTCAGCTCCAACAAACGATTTCCGAGATGAGACGAGCTGGCTTTCTTCTCAAGGATTTCAGGTAAATGGGATTTGACATCGAGAAGGTGAGCGCATATTGGCACATAAGTTGACTCCCTCTGGAGGAAGGGAGATCGAGTGCGTTGTGGTATAGTGGTTCGTAAAGTTGCTCGATAAGCGAAAGGTCGCGGGTTCGAGTCCCGGGGGCGCACAAGTTTTTGATCTGCCCTAGTTCCAACTGGCGACCACGGAGAAGGATGGGCTCTGCAATGCTGGCTAAGGTCTTCATGCCTAGTTTCGGCACCCCAGGCCTAAAAATCGAGGTGTGTGGAACCGTCTCGTTCAGAGAGGAGGGAAGTTAACTCCCTCTGGAGGAAGGGGGATCGAGTGGGTTGTGGTATAGCGGTTAGCACAGTTGCTCGGCAAGCGAAAGGTCGCGGGCTCAAGTCCCGGCGTGTGCACGAGTTTTTGATCTGCCCTAGTTCCAACTCATATATACCTACTTCTAGTTGTTAAATAAACCTGTTGATTTACCTAATTAATGTAGATCTCTCATTTTACAGACACACGATCTTGGCTTCAAGGAAAAACTATTGCACAAATTCGAAAGTGGCTACTTCAACAGGCCTCAATACGAAATGCCGAGCTCTTGTCAATCACAAACAATCGATTAAAGTTGATGGGGCTGATTGCAAGAAAGTTTCCAAGATTTTCTAACCATCATCATCATTTTTTAGTTTTGCCCAATGTGGGAGAACTTTCAAAAGGCCAAAGAGAAGCCAAATTATCCGAGTCAACATGAAGGATCTGGTTTGAAAACTCAAAAGAAAACTTTTCGAGAGGAATTCGTTGATACAAAAGTTGCGAATCAACTCTGGAACGTCGAGGTCTGAATGTCGAGTTTTGTCATTTTTCTCCATTCAGGATCTGAAAACAGCTTTATCCGACAAGATGAAAAATTATCAATTCGACTTGGAAGACTCACCTTTTTACTCAAGGTTTGTGTAGCACTGTAATCATTTGCTTTAAAAGGTAGACATTTATTCAAATAAGATATCACAGAAATTGCACTGTACTGTTAGCTCCGGATCCGGATGGGCCCAAATGTCCTTATTATGCGTCGAGGCAAATGATTGATGATGCGCAAATCGTTTTCGCTCCTTACAACTATGTGATGAGTGAGTAGAAAAAGCTTAAAACGAAAAAAAATAACGTAGTTTTTTTAGATCCAACAATCAGGAAAATCTCTTTTGGTTCGATGGGATTGAGGAGAGCCCTTCTCGTGATCGATGAGGCTCATAATATCGAGAATCTTTGTCGGTGAGTCTTGAAGATTTGAGATAGATTTTCTAAAAGTTATGAGAACAGTTAGGTCAATATATCGTTATCGTAACTCCAAGGCTACTTCTGAAATGAGAAGAATTCAGAGAGGAGGCCTCATTCGGGATCACCGATTTGTCGATTCTGGAAACACTCGAAACGATCGACAAAGCCGGTACAGCATGAGCTAAATAATAGTCCTTCTTTGTACGCGATGATGTTTTTCAGATGAACGCCTAGCCATCGCTTTGAGGGGCTTGGAAGCTCCATTTAACGCTAATCTGAAAAACGTCAGACGTGCCCTAAATGATGTGAAAACAATCAATCTGTTTCTTAATTCGACTTTTAGCTCAAAATCTACGCCACAAATTTCTTGAAGTGGTTGATCGCTAAGGGAAAGCAGAAATTCGGCGAAACGAGACAGCCCAGCAATTTGACGGTATTCTATTAAAGTCTAACAAATTTTTTCAAATAACCGATTTCAGGACTACAAAATGATTCTCTTTGATCTACAAGACAGTCAAGAACTCAATCTCCGTGGCATCCTTTTGTCTTCGATTGATCTGGCCGACTTTCAAGTAAAAGATTGAAAAACTAAGAAAAATTTCTTTCTTTTCGGAATCTTTGGACACGGTCAAGAAGTCGAGTTTTTCTTGCCGTTGTGGC